ATGACTTAAAGCGAATGTTATTTCGCAAGGCCCATGCGTTCATGTTGGTTAAAGTGTTCTGCAGAGATATGCAGTCCTCAACACCTTTGATGCTGCGATATGCCTTGGTGTCGTCGGCATATAATGCGGCCATCGCACCTCCTGCAGTTGCATCAGGCAGGTCGTTTATAAAGATCGTGAAGAGCAGGGGTCCCAACAGACTCCCCTGAGGGACACCGGAAGTGACTGGTGCCCATTGCGAGACAGCACCATCAACAACTACACGTTGGACGCGCTCGTTTAGATAGTCTGAAAACCAGGCTAGTAGCTGCCCCGAAACGCCGTAGGCCCTTAACTTAGACAGGAGAATACAATGGTCCACCGTGTCAAACGCTTTAGCGAGATCCAAATACATCACGTCCGTCTGTACATTTTTATCCAGGTACTGTCCTATGGTGCGTAGAACAGACAGTAATTGTGTGACACACGATCGATTTCGTAGAAACCCGTGCTGTAAGAGGGTGATCAGATGTATGACGTGCTCATAAAGGTGATTAAACACGCAGCGTTCCTGTATTTTGCTTACAATGGGAATGAGCGAAATAGGTCTATAGTTGTCGGCGGGTTCTTTTGAGTCTTTCTTGTGGATTGGTGTTATGTCCGCCGATTTCCACTCACTTGGAATTTTGCCGCTTTTAAGTGAATTGTTAAAAATAGCGCAGAGACTTGGTGCTATTTGTTCGCTACATTGTTTGAGCAGTCTCGCTGGGATGCCATCAGGACCACTGGCTTTTGAGATGTCTAGCCCATTCAAGTGCTCTCTCACCTCTTCTATTGATATTTCTATTTGCGAGATTTCCATATCAGTTCTCAGTGGTGTGTTAATTTGAGGTCTGTTTACATCGGAGGCTGCTGGAAGGAAAACAGAACAGAAATATTTATTGAAGAGGTCTGCTTTTTGTGCTGGTTCCTTTGCAGACACACCGTTGTATGATATCACCGGGCTTGTGCCAGATCGACCACCTAAAATCGCTTTGTGGTAGCTCCAAAATTTCTTTGGGTTGTCCTTAAACGACTGCTCAATTTGCGCTAAGTACTGCCGATGTTTAGCGCGAATTACGTACTTAATATTTTGACTCAATATTCGCAATTTTTGTTTGCGTTCAGGGGTCTTGTTCTGACGAAATTTTTTCAAAGCTGCATACTTCTTTCGAATCAGATGCCGGACTTCCCCGTCTATCCAAGGGGGAGAGTTAGTGTCGTGAATTGTTTTTACTGGTATATGATCTATTACGGCAGTCAGAAACAGATCTTTCCAGTTTGACCAGTGTTCATTTATATCATCCGAAAAGGCTAACTCAAAGGGAACTCGAGTAAGTGATTCCCGTAGATCATCAAAATTTCCATTCTTAAAGTCGAAGACTTGTCTCTTCACCCGTTTTGCTCTTTGAAACTTTAGTCGGATATCAAACTCAATAACATAGTGGTCTGTGGGAAATATACCTTCCCGTGGATGAAAGGTTAGAACGTTCTCGATAGTCTCAGGCCAATTACACAGCACAAAGTCAAGCTTGTTACCGGCAATATGCGTGGGGCCAGGGACAGTCTGATAAAGAAAATTGTCACCAACAAGATCACAAAATATTTTGTGGTCTGCGCGACTACTGTTGTTTACTGGAGTTGTTGTTGTTTCATCGTTAGCCCAATTGAGTTCTGGCAGATTGAAATCGCCAAGCAGCAATATACAAGCTGACTCTGTGTTTTTCCGTAGAGATGAGTTAAGTTCCAGAAGAGGTTCGGGCGATGAATCAGGGTGATAAAAACAATAAAGGGTAACAGTTTTTACATTTCCAGTCTTCAGATCCACAACAACCAATTCTGCGCCACCCTTCTCTAAGTCAGGTCGTCTTTTCACTTCAATGCCTCCTTTAACCGCAATCATTACTCCACCAGCACGATCTTCTCTGTCCCGTCGAAAGATGGAATATCCTGGTATGATTTCACTGTCGGTTACAGAGTTATTAAGCCATGTTTCAGTGACCCCGACAACGTCGAAGTCCCCGCTAAAGACAATCTGTTGTAAGATGGTGATTTTGCATATTTTGCTTCGGTCAGAACCTTCGGCAGTCACGATTGCTTTTAAACTTCGTGCATTCAGATATAGTGCTCGCAGATTGTTTCTCTGATTCGGATGGGGACCAGGGTTCGATGCAATATCCATACAGATAGTTATATCGATGCCTTGATGGAAGTCAGGAGGCGAACGACAAGTTTGACCATGTTTGGTCCAGCATACTTGATGTCGACGAAGTTGGTTTGAGATTCGGCGGCTCGCAGCATTTCTTCTGAGATAGTGGGCTTGAAAATTGTTGGTCGATTTCAATGAGCACTCCGAAGAGCCGTCTCCAAGCTGGCTTGGAAGCGTGTGTGCCAGTAGATTAACTACAAAAGCTAGTGATATAACCCAGAGGCCGAAAATAATGGAACTTTGTGGATCTCATTTTACGTCAAGTTTTCACAACAACAAGGAATTTATGATTTAAACAAAATCTATCCAGTCCCACTTCTTTTAGAGGAAAAAAGTGACCAAGTTCTTCCTTCTTTCAATCACAATTCAAGTGCACAGATATTAGTTTGACCCTCATACTCTGGGGCACACGGTATTCTACATCAGTTTGAGTTAGCAGGGCGAGGATAATACTTAAACAATCTGCAAACGGACCTCCAAACTCACATAACTATCTTATTACACAAATGTTCCGATTCATCTATCTTTTAATCTTTCAGTTGTTAGAATAGATTTGAGTTTGTCATTTTATGATTAGGAGTGTCAACAACTGTCTTGTTTTGTCAAAATTCTATGTACATTTCCTATGGGTCTTACGTCTTTAACAGAATTTTGCCAGAACTTCTCAGTGTGAGCGTAGGCGATGCTTCTTTTTATCTTCAAATCTAATTTAACCTCATAATATTGATAAGGCGGTAGTTTCCTAATTGTTGAAATTTAGCTCTTTAGGGTCTTTAGGATAAGGATTTCTAGTAACAAAATGTCTCTTTCTACACCTTGATAAATCTTCACTTTGTGGTTCCTTTAGAACGAACATCGAAGATGGTATGTTTACTGCTCGTGATCCCATTATAGTACACGCAGGGTAAAAGAAGCGATTCTTATAGCTCTTCGCCCAAACATCAATTAAAATCTACAGTTGTGAATAGCTTTGAAATTTCCAAAAAAAACTCACCTCGCACCCTAGCTGAAGATTCATTATCTGGTGCATAATTCCAAGCAGGTATTGAAGACTCAGGCTTCAAACTACGATTAGATAAAAAAAAACAAACATACAGACAGACACGATTAATAAATGCAAACCAAACCAAAATGGTGGTATAGGCTTGTTATAAATCGATTTTTACTTTTGGTTAACTTGCAGATACACTGCATACGGCGGAAGCAGAACATGGTTCGATCAACGTGAAACTTTCCGCTTGCGGTTACTGTCTTGCAACTGCGAGATTTATGGAAAGCCCCTACAATACGTACGCTGGTCTTACATAAAATGAGGGCTCGTTTTCATGGTTCTTTTGGATTGAGAACCATGATGTTCTTTCAACCATTTACAGAACACCTAATTTAACATATAGTAAAGACGCTTGCGTTTCATGGTGATTTAGGTTATCATACCGATGAGCAGTGTACAATTTGGACTTTTTGTCGTCGTCTTTGCCATCTTTAGAGTATCGTCGGATTTTACTGGTGTCCAAAATGTCAGAGGAAACTTTGCCTTCTTGTAGACCTTTCGTATAAACCATACATTGTTAAGAATAAAGCAATATAAAGAAGCTCACATTCTTTATTTTATATTATATTTATCACGTGGCGCTAATAAGATATTGAGGACATGATGTTAAAAAAAGGCTAACGTGTTACCCGAGTTGACTCCAAATAAAATACGGGGGCCATTACACGCCTCTACTGTTGTTTTGAGATATAGCCGTTTGTCTCACGATGAAGTCTGCTCCAATGTGGCTCGCGATGTTTCGACTGCATACTACTGGTCGTCTATCTTCTAATCGCCCGAGACTCCACCAGAAGAAATACGATAAAGGATTTATAGTAATACAAATATCTCTTTTACACCTTAGTGAATCTTCTGTTTGCAGTTCCTTTAGAACGAACATCGAACACGGTTATGCATAGCAGAGGCTGCAACGGCAGCAGCGGATCTAAGGGAAAGAGTTTGAAGGACTCGTGAGACCCAGCCCCCCCCCCCCCCCACCAGACAACTCCCATACAACACCCACCCTCCCCTCCACACTGAGAAAACAAAGGTGACACAATTCAACTAGAAATTTTTTAACAAAAACTGTGTGTGTTGATTATTTGTACGCTATTGAGAAAAATATTAGCGTTGCTTTTTCTTTCTTTTTTTTTTTTCGGAAACAAAGGATTAGAATTTCGACGTGAGAGGTGTATGGCATTAGACTATGCTGATTTGGCTTAACTTCTGGGAAATAATATTTCTCAAGGACATAAAATTAAATCGTTAGCCAAGTATGTTTGACTGAGTGTACCTTTAAATTTATGAGCTGACTTTAACAGTTGTAGTCTTGCTAACGATGCCTCCCTTAGTCGCTTTTGTTGTTCTAGTAGTACTCTCTGTAAAGGCCTGTTCGGACCACCAAAGATGAGAAACAAAGCAAATTAGATTCAAACCTTATGGTGAGAATTAAGTTAGAGGCTAAATGGAAACCCATTTTGAATTATAATTTAATAGATACATAGGTGTGTAAGCGAAAAAAAAAAAAACTGTAAAAAGTAGGGTAAGAATTGCAGTCTAAGGAAGTATTATATAGTAAGTAGAATAAGTAACGTCTTGTAGGTGGTATTGTAAGTAGTGTTCGTCTTGTTTTGTAAAGTAGTGTTCTTCGTGTTGCAATAAAAAAAAAGTCCTTTGCTCGAAAAAAAAAAAAAAAAAAAAAAAAAAAAAAAAAAAAAAAAAAAAAAAAAGTTAAGACTAGTTATCGATCATCATCATCGTGATAGTCAGGATAGCATGAAGTTTTCCGAACAGTTACTTGGTTGCCCACTGTAGCGTCGTTAGTGGGCTTATTCTTAAAGCCACGCTGATTTTTACCGAACACAGCGCTTTAAAGAATGCTTCTGTCTATTTGAGTGGCTAAACAGATAGCAATCTTCAGTAGAAATTTTTCTTGCATGCACTTTGTGGTTTTTAGAGTCTTCGAACTTTAGAAAACTTTAGGAAAGTTGACTTCTCAACACCCCAATCAGATAAATAGGTAGGTAGGCATGTTGTGTAATTTTGTTATGATTCTATTTTTTCTGTCCGTCTGTTGCAAATAAACCATTGCCACAAATAAAAGCAAGAAGTAGCTGATTATTTCCATTCAGAGTACAGGAGGAGCGCCAGAGCAAGGCTTCGAGTAATAACGCCAGAGGGAATGGGAAAGTTTTCCTCTCCCTCACATTGGCTGTCCTTTTGAAACCTTTGAATGCATTTCAAGTATGTATGGTGTGTCTTACCAATGAGCTGTTGACAATTTGAAATTTTGGCCCTCATCATCTTTAGAGTATCGTCGACTTTTATAAGTGTCCAAAATATCAGAGGAACCTTCGCCTTCCGCAGAAATATTTCTTGCTATTTATGGTATGTTTTACCGATGAGCTGTTGACAATGTAGACTTTTTACCTTCGTTCCTTGCCATCTTTAGAAGGTGGACTTTCATGGGTGTCAAACACGTCAGAGAAACCTTTGCCTTCTTGTAGACCTTTTTCATAAATCATACATCGTTAAGGTTAAAGAATATGAAGAAGCTCGCATTTTATATTTTCTATTATATTTACCACGAGACGCTAACAGAAATATTGATTAGATAATGCTAAGAAAGAGCTCACGTGTTATCTGAGTGTAACTCTAAATAAAATACAGAAGCCATTACACGCTTCTTCTTTTGTATTAAAATATAATCGTTCTCACGATGTGGTCGGCTCCATGTGGATCATGATGTTTCGACTGCATACTACTAGTCGTTTAGCTTCTAATCGCCCGAACCTCCCCCGTAACAAGTAATATCCCTCACTTTGGTCGTAAAGAATTTCACATTCCTCGAACCGTTGTTGATTTTAAAAACGATGCAACTTCTTCAAGAGATATATTAGCATGACATAGGCATCTGATTCAGACCTGAGGCGTTGACCGGACATCGCTCGCTATGCATCTTAGCATGCTTACTTCTCGTGATCTTCACCATTGTACACGCTAGGTAAAAGAAGCGACGCTCATAACTCTCCACCTTGACATCAATTAAAATTTTTAGTCGTGATTCGCTTCACCTTGCACCCTAGCTGCGGATTCATTGACCATTGAATCATCTAGACAGGACTTTCTTTGAACTCAAACTGTGTGTTAGAAACTTTGTAAAACTATTTTCCCTTTTTTTGACCTCATGAATATTACAGGTGCAATCTCGTAAACGAGGGTGTGAAGTCCCAAGAACTCTACTTAATCTTGTCATCAAATTTCAGAAGAGTGCCCTCTTGTCAGATAGAATGTTGGACTGATAATCTAGGTATTCAAAAAGTATTTTTAGTGCGCTAATTAATCATATATTTGATTAACTTCTCCTGAGAATCACAAAGAATGAAGAAATTTAAGATGTTCTGCGATATAGATATATCCATCTATTTGTTTATTTAATCTAATTGAAAGAAAAACAACAATCAGACACCTTAGGCATTCATATACCTTCTGTTGTCGACAAACATGCATAAAGAGGCGGGGCAATAGTAACAGAGCACGTTGGTGCTTGAAGTTGTGGAAATAGTCTTTCTCTCCCCGTTACAGACCGTTGTATCTTGGCAGGTATTCTTGGTAAATAAGTGCTGTGCGAAACCAAATAACCATGACTTCATTGCTGATCAGAGATAGTACTGGTAAGCTGTCCTAATCATCACATTATCTTTAGGTAATCGTCCGCAAGGACGCGCACTTTCCCTGATCGGGTCGACACTGAAAACACCTGCAGACATCTCACAAAAAGGCTGAAAAATGTTGTGAACCTTTATTGTCCATTTCCCGAATATTTACCCTCCACAAGAATGGCTCGCTATGTTTTCATGTATCTGTATTATGATCTAAAACAATACTAAAAGAGACTACACCGGAAAAATTGGTAAATTTTGCTACACGATATAACAAAACGCTATTTTTCTTTTTGGTTCATCTTCTTAGGGTATGAAGGTATGCCACCTTAGACAATGGGTACTTAAATTATTACGAGAGGGACCAAACTAAAACTGGAAGTGACCGGGTTCCTCTCAAAAGATACAGGTATGAAGCGTTTTGAAATTTACAAAAACAGGTCAAAATTACGTCGCTGGAGACAAGACTAAAAATCCACCGCGCTTGTAAAAAAGGTCAAAACTCTGAGCTACGATTGAAACTGGAGCGACACTTCCGAAACTAATGTCTTTCAAGTGAAAGATGTAAGATGTAAGGAAACACCAGAAATACCGTTTAACAAGATGGAAAAGCAGTGAGTGACGTCAATAACTCGGCATTTTCCTTTTAGTAATTTTCTGTTCATAAAAATCTTGTGATGAGGTTTGATGAAGTCATTGTTATTTGGTTTCGCACAGCACTTATTTAGCAAGAATACCAGCTAAGATACAATGGTCAGTAACGGGGAGAGAAATATGCACAAAGATTTGAAAAATTTGATGTACTCAGAAACTGTCACCAAAAGATTTCCTTTCTAACCAAGTACAAAGCGTCTACCTCCAGGGGAAAACAATGTACTTAGCCTGCTTGTAACGACAGGGTAAAATCATGCACGTGCCATCTTCTCACCGGTCACCTGAACTTCTACATAACTTGTAAAATTATCTCTAAAACAAATCCCACTGAATGAAACGAGTAGGACGATTGAATGGGACATGATATCGATATCTCGATATTTCCTTGTTAGTCCCTTACCATTCTCATTTTTCAGAAAATAGCGACGGTGATAATGGAGAATAACAATGAAAATAACAATGGTAGTAGTTAAATCATTTGTACCTATAATTTTTCCTGCAATTATCTGTTGTTCTTCCGTAGTCTCATTTTTTTCCTCGACTGGTATAACAGTCTTGCTGTGATCAACCAGTTGGGAAATAGCTTCTATGGATGTTTGAATACCAAGATCATCGGTGTTTGCTGTTTGAATAGCCCCTTCAGCAAGCAAGATTTCAGTGTCCTCACCATCGCCCACAAACGAGTTGCCGCTGTTTTCTGAGGAATTGCGTGAGCGATGAAGTAAACTTTTTAAACTTATCTTTAGAGCAAATTCCACTGAATGAAACGAGTAAGACGATTGAATGGGACATGCTATCGATATCTAAATTTTTGCTAGTTAGTCCCTTACCATTCTTATTTTTATGAAATAATGACGGTGATGATTGAGAATGATAATGAAAATAACAATGGTAGTAGTTAAATTATTTGCACCTATCATTTTTCCTGCAATTATCTGTTGTTCTTCCGTAGTCTCACTTTTTTCCTCGACTGGTATAACAGTCTCGCTTTGATTAGGCAGTTGGGAAATAGCTTCTTTGGATGTCTGAATACCAAGATCATCAGTGTTTGCTGTTTGAATAGTCCTTTCAGTAACCAGGATTTCAGTGTCATCATCATCTCCCATAAGCGAGTTGCCGCTGTTTTCTGAGGAATTGCGAGAGAAATAAAGTAATCATGTACACTGTCTTGACAAACCCACCGATACATCTTTGACACACGGATGAATAACTGAGATGAGGTAGAATAAAAGAACAGAATAAAATAGACAGTTAAATGATAACCGTTTTGCAACCAAAAATTGAATTAAATTATTGTTACAAAGAGATAATATTGATAGATTAAGAACTACCAGTAGTTTACAACAAGTTTGTCTAAAGATATGTTTGTACATATGTTATGTTTGCAGATAAAATATGTCGAGGAAACATTGAAGTCGACTAAAATCTTCCAGGCCTTAAGGGCAATAGAAGTAAAAACAAAAAGGTACCTGAATTTGTTATTCGCCTTGCGCTTAAAGACAAGTTTGTAATAGAATGTTATAATTTTAATTACTTCTGCTCCTATAGATCGATGTGAATTTTGCCACCGAAAGTCGATAAGGTGCGCACAGAAAAACACATGTTAAAACATCTTAAGTTAATTCAGATACATCAGGGTTGGTGTGAAATCTGATTTCAGATTGGAAAGTTTTAAAAGGAAATTCAGAATAACCATTTTTGCCTGCAATTTGATGATTGGATGCTCTAAAACGAATAGGGCTTTTGAACAAAGGAATAAAGTAACACGGATTAAAATTTAATCGTGGCTAAACGCAAATCGGTCTTCGTACATCCTGACCCAGGATATCCCTTTAGCAAGTATTGTTACCAACTTACGAGAAATATTTAAGAGGTGCTCTTTACACGCCAAATAGTCCTCTTCCAGTATGCTTGTTTCTAAAGTGACAGACTCCACATGAAATCTCTTTTTGATGTCATCTGTCAAAAGAAACTTTTCGGCCATCCAATCTAGACGACCGGAGCGATAGTCGGACCACAGAAGTTCAAGACTTTCCAGATCTCGGCATCCGACGGAAAATTGTAAACTGTTGTCACGCTCTTTTGTTGGTGCTGAATCTTGAGTTACTGTTACATGTCGAAAGTAGGTGGGTAGCTCCATAGAAGAACTTTGAGAAGTCTTTTCCTCAGATAACATTTCAGACACCAAACGCAGGCTTCCATTTTCTTGTTCTGGATGAAATTCATTTGGCCTTGCTGAACGACCACTGTCCACTTTATTATCAGAGGGCGATGTATATGAAAATAAAATCAACGTTCCTATCTTAAATATAAAGGCATGTAAGTAAAAACTAACTTTCTGACTTTAATTGTTTTCTGATCTTTGATCTTTGTCTGAATGGAGGTGCGTTTCCAATCATGTAACGTAATAAAGATTCGTGCAAATCATAGCCTTCGGAAAAAGTATCCTCGATAATATCAGTATCCTCGCGGCTTCCAGCATTTTTAATTACTGGACAATTAAACTAAAATACACAATTAATAATCATCACTTATATTTCGCCCATAAAGAAGAGCAGGTTTTTGGTAGAGTTAAACAAGCTCATTTTGGAACTGTAAGTGATATTCAAACAGGAATCTACCGTGAAATTGTCAAAACCTTTACGTGAAATTTTTAATGATTTCTTGTAGATGCTATGCTATCAATTGAGTTGGGCGACCAAAAGAAGATTCTACATTTACATGTCTAATTGAATTGTTGATGTTTTCACTTACAATTTAACGAAAAGCGCGCCGTGGTGAGTTCACGTTGCTCTTCGTCGTGAACGACCAGAGGTTGTGCATTCGCTGGATCAGTTAGATTTTCTGCAACTGTTGAATCACGATTCAAATCTGATCGATAGCGTCAAAGAAAATAACAATATGATAATCAAGAATAAACATGAAACCATAACACATTTCTCCGCCCTTAACACCACTAATTATGGAAAATCTTACCGCGGACATGGTAACTGCAAATTTGGGTCTGATAATTCTGAGGAAACTTTGAAAACTTTGACCCTCGGTCTTCCACGTTTTACTCGCGACTCGCGAACCTCAACCCTCGAACCTTGACTAGAAGGCAAGCCTATTTCGCAAAACTCACACTGAGACATTTTCTACTTTAGCCGAACTCTCCTTTATTTATTCATATTTTTTTAATAAGCTCCATGGTTTTTCCTCGCCAAATATGCATAAACAACAACTTTGTTCTCGTTTCATAATAATTCCTAAGTTTTTAAGTCAATTTTCAGTTTCTTCTCTTCTACTTTTGTCGCCAGGTTTGTTTGCTTTTTGTTTTGTCGTTTTTGTTCGTTTCAGACAGATAAATGTCGGTAGAAATGCGATAAAGTCGCTGATTGTGAGTATACATGCGTATATATGATAACATTTTCTTCTGGTAATAATGTATCGGAGTATTAGATGAAATATAAGTGTCTGCTCGTAAAGGACGAACTTTGAAAAATTTGATGCGATTTTGTATTTTAGTTTAACAGTGGATTAAGGACAAAAACGTCCCAAAGACTTTCTTTAACTACGGGCCATTTTGCTCGATCCCCTTGCATTTCATTGAACTCAATGCTTTGTTCGTAAAACTTCTCAAAGTTCCTATTTACAGGTTTGTTTGTTTTTATGGCAGGATAGTAACAAAGCAAAATTTATAGACAGATAACAATCCCACCCGCCATTCGAGGCGCTGTGCCGTATCACACATTACCCTCTTTTTGACAGTAATTTTCCTGAGCCCGTGCATCAAGCCTTATGACCTGTCTTCTTGGGGAGTTTTAACTATAGGATGAAATACCTCTTAGTGACAGTTTGCAAGCCAGGTAATCCTCCATAGTTATGGTTGTTTCCAGTTCTATTGATTCCACATCATATTTCTTCTTTATCTCATCCGTTAAAAGACGCTCTTCCGCTACCTCATTAAGGTGACCGGAACTATAGTCATCCCATAGATGCTCAAGAATTTCCAATGTCTTACATTCGACAACAATTCGCAAGCTCCCCTCACCTGCTTCTCTTATCATCAAGTCGTGCACTCCTTGTAGGTAGTAACAAAGAGATTGACTGAATTTTTTCGAAGGTATTTGAGCTGCGTGTATCTCAATAAAATGTTTTGTCATCTCACACATCAAGAGGCGTTTGGCTTCTTCTTCTTGTGCAGGGTCTTTGCTCTGTGACTCTTGAAATGTGGCGCGGTTAAGTTTTATGCGAATGGGCAATTTACCTGGAGCTGAATGTGCACTGACTTCCAGAAAGCCAGGCGAAAACACAATTAGAAAGTTGCTACCTAAAAAATATCACTTTCCTTTGAAATCAATAATGAAAAGCGGACTCGCCGGGAGGCGGTGGCACGCTATATGTTTTATAGAAAACAAATAACAGAAAATTACTAGTGAACAGAGAATGGCTCCGCCTCAAATAAATCTGTTGTCTACCCATAAAGAACTGGGGAAAGCAGACGAAAGAGAATAGAGACCTACTTATTACTTATCAAAAGTCTCGAATTTCTGCGACACAAAGAAGTTTAAATGCAACAAGAAAAGAAATGAAAGGTAATGGAAAAGAAAGAAATTGTGAGAATTTTACAACTAAACGGTTGTACTTTGGTAAGTTTGAACATATCCATTTTATTTGTTATCTTGTACATGACCACTTTAAAGAAATTATTGAGATCATTCGACAATCTCAAGTAATATGTGGCATAGTATATCTTAGAAACCACTGGGCATTCTCATGGAAAATCCTGAAATTTCACTCTTGATATTTCATGGAACACATGGCATACCGAAGGTATTGTATAACAAACATGTTGTGAAATTGGACCGATAATTATTTGGTTGAATAGGGATTTTGCTGGTATATCATATGTATGAATTTGGAGTAAAATTGCAATGCCACTCTTCGAACCAAAATTTAATCAATTTCCCCAATTGCTCTCTTAAACACTTCAATGCTTCAATCTGATAAGTCAGAATTTAATACTAGGTACCATTCTCCAGAATATAAGTTATTACAAGTATTATAGTTTTTAAAAATGGGCTGCGTAGAGAGTATGGTACCTGAACAAAGGCCGTTATTGACTTCCGTCTGGTGAGGCCATGTGGACTTTTCTGCTGCACACGCACAATCTTCGGGTTTGTCTATGTGAAGAATATGTGACATTTTAATTATTTTGTTAGCTATCCAGTGTTTTATAGGTTTGGAAATTTCACTCTTGATATTTCATGGAACACACGGCATACCGAAGGTATTGTATAACAAACATGTTGTGAAATTGGACCAATAATTATTTGGTTGAATAGGGATTTTGCTGGTACATCATATGTATGAATTTGGAGTAAAATTGCAATGCCACTCTTCGAACCAAAATTTAATCAATTTCCCCAATTGCTCTCTTAAACACTTCAATGCTTCAATCTGATAAGTCAGAATTTAATACTAGGTACCACTCTCCAGAATATAAGTTATTACAAGTATTATAGTTTTTAAAAATGGGCTGCTTAGATAGTATGGTACCTGAACAAAGGCCGTTACTGACTTCCGTCTGGTGAGGCAATGTGGACTTTTCTGCTGCACACGCACAATCTTCGGGTTTGTCTATGTGAAGAATATGTGACATTTTAATTATTTTGTTAGCTATGCAGTGTTTTATAGGTTTGGAAATTTCACTCTTGATATTTCATGGAACACATGGCATACCGAAGGTATTGTATAACAAACATGTTGTGAAATTGGACCGATAATTATTTGGTTGAATAGGGATTTTGCTGGTATATCATATGTATGAATTTGGAGTAAAATTGCAATGCCACTCTTCGAACCAAAATTTAATCAATTTCCCCAATTGCTCTCTTAAACACTTCAATGCTTCAATCTGATAAGTCAGAATTTAATACTAGGTACCATTCTCCAGAATATAAGTTATTACAAGTATTATAGTTTTCAAAAATGGGCTGCGTAGAGAGTATGGTACCTGAACAAAGGCCGTTATTAACTTCCGTCTGGTGAGGCAATGTGGACTTTTCTGCTGCACACGCACAATCTTCGGGTTTGTCTATGTGAAGAATATGTGACAATTTAATTATTTTGTTAGCTATGCAGTATTTTATAGGTTCGGGGTTTAAGTAGCCGCTGTCAAATAATTTGCTAAACGAGCCCCTGAAGGTTTGATACATCTCTCTATGCCACGAATCAATCTTTCACATTGCAGTGTGTTACGTTTTTGAGTAGGAAAATTAACCCTCATGATGGCTATCTCTACCCAAGAGTATAAATGGTGATGGGGAATTTTTATAGAGAAAGGAGAAAGATGCCTCAAAGTTAACTAAAATATTCCTGGTTCTTTTGGCTAAACTAATTGGGAGGCTTACGACCTCGGTGCGACGGAATGCCTTCTGGTATAGTATTGGATGATCTCTGCTAAGCTTACTTCCATACCGTCAAGAGTGATGCTGATCATTTTGTCAATGAGAGATTCACACTGTTTTTTCCAACTGTACTTTTTCTTGTAGGTGTCTCGCAGTGTTTCACACTCCTCAAGTCGACTGCTCCTGTCATTGTTGCAGACTTCCCCAATTGCTTTGGCCCACTGATCTTGATCATCTGAATCAACCACAAAATGCCGGCCAAATGGTATTTTCAACAAAGCTTCTGCAAATCCTGATTTTCGACTCACAAGAATAGGCAGACCGGCTGACAAGGCTTCAAGGCCCGTTAACCCAAAGCCCTCAGTTCTCGAGGGCATAACGACAAGGTCTGCTTCGCAAAATACCTTTTTCAAATCTTCCCGGCTATCCAAAAACGGACGCACCCTTAGTTGGCTAGGAGGGATATCAAAATCGAGGAAACGTGTTCGTGTCTCTTCGAGTTTTCCCTCCGCAGCACCAACAAATAACAGAATACAATGACTCAGCTTAGCCATAGCTCGAGCTGCTATGTCAAACCCTTTTAATTTAAAGTCCTCCGAATCTCCACGACCAAAACATAAGACTTTACAAACTTCTCGTTTTTCTAGACTTTGTTTCAATTCAGAGAATTCTGCTAGAATTCCAGGAGTAAATTCGAAGAAACACTGCTCTTTCTCACACGAGGCGAGATAAGAACGAAACGCTTTGTACAATTTGGGGCCAACTGGTACAACGAAGTCAGCTAGTTCGCAAAGTTCTACCTCTGTTTTATGCTTTTTCTGAGCATTCGAAATTGGATTGGCATATTCTTTATATATCCCTAGTTCCTCAGGGTCTGTATGGACAACCTGAATCCATTTACATTCGTGGGACTCCCTAATAATTTGTGCTTGATGGCCAAGTTTAACACCATGTCCAACCACTACGTCAATTTGCAAATCCTTTGGTGGAAAGTTAAGCCATTCCAGTTCATCTAAGCCGGGCCGCCTTGGTGCCTTTATAAGTTCTATTTTGTGACTATGAGCTGCTGTCTTGTCCTCGTCATTGCAACTTGGAACAAAGTAACTGACCTTAACTCTTGGGTCCTTTGCGATGTTTATTGCCAATTCCCTGTTTAGGGTGGAGAGGCCTCCTTTGCTTGATCCCCATTCTGATGCCAGGAAAGTAACTCCAAGCCTTTTGGGTCCTGGGCACTGTCTGCTGTAATTGTTATTGTCCTCTTCATTTAGCATACGTGCGTAGTTTGATGATTTTCCCCTCTTGAAATATAATAAAAGCTGTTAAAAATATTTCACCGGACTTTTTTTATATCAGTGACCCGATTTAAAAGGATGTCTAGTTTATAAGACTCAGCGTGCAAAGTAATTGTTTAACAAACATCTTCTGCGTAAATGCATTACTACGAATCATACATTCCCCCTTGACACTTGTATCCTGAAGAACACGTGTTATTTTAGAGTTGGGCCCCTACACTTCTATAGCTGCTCACAAGCAATCATACACTTCAGAAAAAATTATTTGCATTAAATGCAAGATATATTTTTTAATATTTTTACCTCTGCAATCTGAAATCCCTTAATGATCATTCACTATGTTCTGTGTTTTATTGTTATGAAGACCAAATAAAAATAAATGTCCCTCTAGCCTGTTGAACTGTAATTAATTTCTGTACTGCAATCAGTAGGATTTTGTATTCTTATCTCCCTGTTTTAAATAGCGATATGTCATGCGTGGTTGAAGAGGAAGGGCTTCGAGCAGAAATCGGCGAAAATTCCTTTTCGCCATTATTATCTGTGGACTCGAGCGACGATTCTACGCTAGAAAGAAAGGTTTTAGTTTCCAGAACAAATCACCTATAGAAACCCCGTCGTCGAACTTTTGACTCAAGAAGCAGATGAATTACCAAGAGTCAGTCTAGTTTACAAAGAAACCACGGGGTGTATTCATATAAATAGGAGCATGATAACAGTGAACAATACCCCAAGAGACGCTTGCAATCAAAATTTTCCGTAAACCAATGTTGCAGAGGCTGTTCGTGTTTTCCGAATAATACTTCTAAACCAATAAATAAATATTATAACAGATCGCGGGCGAACAATTGCTACCTGACATTCTTAAGGTGTTACCATGTTAAAAATCCTCATGCACGCACGGCCGTGCATTCATAACACGGCGGGTGCATTCAGCTGCAACTTCCCGTACAGTTTAGCCGCGCTTCAAAACTTTTTGACTTTGTTTTTCTCTTCCATCCCGATTGTGATAGAACTTTGGGAGCTCAAAATCAAAAGTAAATATGCTAAACAATACTTATTTCGAAAAATAATGGAAATGTATTTCTTTCAAGCGACGGAGTTAGCTTTTGAGTTCATTTCCACACGCTATGCGAATTATGGCTGGAAATAAACAAAGTGATCTTCATGACTTCAAGTGAGGCTTTGCGACGTAGGGTACAATTCTCGAGAACGGTAGCAATAATTTTTTAAGTGTTAACATGTCCAAAAAGAGTTTTCAATAGAAGATTTTGGTTTAAATCGTACAATTTTCAGAAATTCGCAATTTTCCGCTCGTAAATTGTAATAACCTTCGGTGAGTCAACCACGCGGGTCTCGTAAACGCAAGAAATTTGTACATTTTTCGCTTTGCTTCTATCGCGCTCTCCAAACTTCCTATGTGCATCCATAACTCGATTCTTGGCAAGAACCAATTCTTTAATTGACTTTGAATGACTCTGAATTTCGCCGAACGTTCGAGAGGTCCTAGGAAAAACAAATCTTCGCACATACGATGGAGAGAAATCGAAATCTCACATGACCGCCTTTCTGGTTGTTTTGTTACACAGGTCGGTTTCTAAAGTATTATCTAAGTCAGATCCAAATGACACGGGCCCTGCAACAATTCCTTAAATTAGGCATCAAACCATGAGTTTTCGAATCAGTGATTAGGCTTCGTCGCACTTGAATTAATCACGAGTTCTAGTCAGGTTCTGTTCAGACACATGTTTAATAACAACACGGAAAGGCAAAGTTAACGAAGCTCGGCTGCAGATTGTCCATTTGATCGAATGAGTAGGCAAACGGGTTTGACTGAGAATTCAACACTGAAGAGTAATGATTCACAAGTGGTAGAAAATATAATCTGCTGATACATCGAATATTCCAACCTCCATTGTTTGCTGTGTACTCTTCCGCTTTCACAATTGCGTGTTCGGTTCAGGCACAGATTCGATAGCAACGCGGTAAGGCAAACCAAGAGTTAATGAAGCCCGGCTACATATTGTGGCAAGGCTTCGTTTAGCAACATTCAATGCTAATCTCTCGATCGAATGAATACGCAATCGTTTTTGACTAAATCATGACTGAGGAATGATTCACAAGTGATACAAAATATCATCTACTAAACCATCGAATATTCCCACCTGCATTGTTCACAGTGTACTCTTCTGCTTTCGCGATTGCATGTTCGTGACTCCACAAGAATTGCATAATAAACATCCATCATTTATCCACGCCATTCCTTATGTCGATTTTCCGCCGAAAATGTCTTCAGTCACTAAAATAAGCCTTACTGATAAGAAATTCTTATGATTATGAATCTCTAATTGCCAACTTCATCAGAGTGGAGCACTGGTAATGAATCAGCCGAAAAAACACAAAAAGGACTGGGGCCAGATATAAGTGGGAGCCTGAGGAGCCTGAGGAAGAGGGGAGGTCAGGGGTTGCTAATTCAAGTCTGAGGCTTTTCCTTCGCCCTTGTATCAATACGTTTTCTGCGCGACGGTTGAATGGTGGCGTTGTGTCCACTCCTGGGAGATGAAATCCTAATTACATTGACGCGTACGTTGTCTCTCTGATTTCCCATAGACTGATGTAGCAGAACAGTGCACAGTACAGCGAATCTTGGAAGAGTACATTTCCGTTTTCATGACAAAACGGCGACGATGGATTTGAAAATAACGGTGAGAGAAAAGATTTACATCGAATCTCAGCGTTTCCTCGTGGGAAAGTTAATTATTACCTTACATCGATAGTGACGCAAAATCTACGATTTCAGTACAGGAAAATGCGTCTATGAATCAAGGAAAACCTCTCTCTACTTTTTTAATTCCTCAACATTTTTCAAGGGGATAGCCAGAAGGAAAGCGCAGCATTATACATTATTTGGCAGGCAAAAATTTGTAGTTACCTACATTAATAGATTGAAATGAATTCATCGTAAATATAATTTTTAAGACTTGATTCTTAAAAAAAATAAAGCAGAGATCACCAAACTCGTTCAGCAGTAACAGGCGCTCAAGGGTTTCAGCGAAGGCTTTCTAAGAGACGTAGCGGTTCTGATAACAAATTAAGTGGGAGAAAAAACTGAATGTTGTAGTCATGAATCGCTTGTTTACTTTTTTGAAAACTAATCGAAATCTTTCCTTTCTTCCGTTAGGAATCTTTGTCGCGATACAGCCTCCCTCGCTCATCTGAGAGTGGCTCTGAGACTCCAGCTCAGTAGCTTTTGATCTTAGCATTATGATTTCATAGAATAATTATTCTTTAGTCATTTGCGTGCCCTTCATTTTGTTTTTCCTCACCGGCTTTTGCCGAGTGTTTAACATTCTTCCTTAACTTCACTTTGATATCATAACAGTCAAAAGTAAAGCTTACGCTCGTATACTCTCCCATTAACCACAGGTCTTTCGAGAAAACTAATCAAAAATAACACCGCATGGTCAGTTTTTGACACTTTTCACACTTAGTTTTTCCGTCATATCCGAATATGCGATTATGAATGAGAATGCATTTACCAGACATTCATATCAGCCCACAGTACAGGTAACAGAGGGACATGGAGGAGATATCAAATGGAAAATATAGTTTTATTTCAATGTTTCAAAGAAGATTTAAGTAGGCAGATTCTCAAAATATACAATAACTTACCACACATTCCTCTGTTTACAAAAAGTAATTATATATTAGTTACGAATTCATATTCTGAAAACAGTTTTGGGAGAATGATCATCGAACAAGTTATGAGAACAGAAAATAAATGATCAAAAATAGGCGATGTGAGATTTTATTGGCTCCGGTAAATGATCCAAAAAGTTGGCGCAGTTAAACTTTAAGGAAAATTGTTTCATGGTAAATCAACAGTTGGTATCAACCATCCGTATGCATCAATGCAAAATTCATTTAATCGCTATATACTGTACAGTTTTTAGTTTAAAAAGAAATACAATAAAAATTACTTTCATTCTATCGACATAGTGAGCAAGATGTTAACGAGAACATGGTAAAATATGGCCATAAAGTCTTATTTCTAACACCATGCACTGCATATTGGTTCCAAATTGCCAATGGCGTTTTCTATGCAGAAAAAGTGGGACCGGCCCACACACTAGTATAAAATCTCTCGACATCAAAGTCCCTTGTTTTGCATTTATATAAACTTTTTTCTAAAATTGTCAGCAGATCTTTCTTCCCCTTTGTGAGATTCTATGAATATCATAATCCTTCTTCTACATTTGTCTAACTTCAAAACATAAAGTTAAAATCATACACCTGCGATGAGTAGCATAAACCGTCCATGCAAAACAACAAACGATCATAAATTGTAAAAATTCTATACGTTCAATACCTCAATAGTAAGAAGATCTGGCATTAAAAAGAAAACTGGGCGTTTTCATTTCGTGAAGACATGAAATTTTTTTTCAAGCATCACCAAAGGGAAAATACTTCTCTTCAATCCCTTCTCTTCTTTGGGAGTATAAGGCTCTATCTTAATGTAAAGTAAGTTGAGGACGTATTCTGCCTCAAATATCAGCAAAATTACAAAAGACGATTCAACAAATTGCAAATTGCCCAAATATTTCATTTTAAAATGCAATGTAAAGGAATCGACAACATAATAAGGCTTTGAGGAATACATCCCACAGTTCGGGGTTATTGTTCAAAGCCTCGAATCGTTTAATACTGAATTTGCAATAATTTTTGTATACAATTATAGTCCAACCTAGACAAAATATCACCCGTTTGATAACACCCAACAAGATTCATTAGCAACACCAACAACTATCGTGATGAATTTTACAGATGAAAGATTTGGCTGACTCTGATTAGTTACTCCATGATCCTTTTTTTGTATGTCAGCCTTTAGTCCCCTTCAAATCTATTTATAAGGCGCTGTAAGTTTCACGTCACATCTTGGTAAAGTGAAGTCGTAAAAGTGTTTTATTAGCTTCTCAATTGTTTTGCATCGCACGCCATCAGGATCAAGGGCGTAGCCTTTCTGCAAAATAAATACCACACAACGAGGTGAGGGGGTCACTGTGAATTGTACATCCAAACTGCCATACGATTAAGAATTTACAAGGAAAAAAACTAAAACAAATTATTAGACAAAGAATGAACCACATACTTCATCCTGAAACACCATGTAATGTCGTACTCGATCTCCAGTCCACACGGACAGAGCCTGCATGAAATTGAAGGAAAAATTAAGAAAAAAATAAAAAAAAGAACAAATTTTCCTCGCACTTGAAAATACTGCTCTGTGAAGTGTGAAAAGTAATATGCTGAAAAGGCGATGAAAGATTACATCGTTGAGTTTTTGGTTTGAACAAGATTTGAGAGACTGATCTGTTTTATTGATGTATGGTTTAGCAAGACTGTACTTATATATTTAAATTTCCCATAAACTCAATCTGTAGCACATTCGACTACGCTCCAACTGCCTGCTCGTTTGTAACTGTTACTTATACAGTTGACAGTCATATTACCATATACGAAACATGAAAAGTCGAGGTCAACAATCTACGATTTTCAGACCCTGAAGTACACGAGTTTTGTTACTATGAATAAAATCATTCTTTGAAGTTGGGTTTACCCGCTCTGACTGTGCGTTCTGACTTCTACGCAGTATGTAGACTCCGAGTTTATTTTCCAAGAGACTACAAGAAAATAAGTCATAAATAAATACGTGTTAAAACACAAATACAGTAAAACCATATAAAACCTTGAAATCCCTACCCTCCACTCCTGAACTGATACATAAACCTATTGCTTTTAAATTGTACTTCGCGATGAAGGAGTTCGCCTTATCGGGATTCCATTATTGTTTTGCCCGAGGCACATTTCATTGCATAACCAATAAAACTAATTCATATTGATCGGTTGCAGAAGAAAACAGACAATAAAAGTGGACAAAGAAATAACAGAGTCAAATTTTATTTAGAGACCTAAAAGCTTCTACTCATGGTAGGTAATATCAAAACCTTGCATACGCACGTAAATGTCGATAACATAAACAATAGATGGGTACTTATTA